GTAATTGGAAATCTGGGGCTTTTTTCTAGAAGTTCTTATACTACTAGGTCTTTATTCTGTTGAATTCTCACCAATTTTGATACTTGCAATCAGGTCTTTTGGCTTTCACATTCTTTATTCCGCAGCTGGGATGTTATGTCCTGCTCAGAATCTGCAGGCAGTCAAAATAGCCCACACATTTCAGAGCATGAGAAGCCCCTTCCCAGGCCACCTTCATCTCCTTGGGGGCATTTTAATGCTCCTTTAAGCCACAGATTTAAATCTCACCTTCCTGCCTGTCCAAAGCAGTTAAACAGCCCTTCTGTCTTTGGTGCATAAGTTTGCAAGGAGTGTTTGTCACAGAGGCTGTCACATCTCACATACTTTCTCTCCCATGAAAACCCCTACTGCTTTTTGTAGCACATTGGCTGTCCCCTTCACCTGGATACTGACCACCAGCACCAGACAAAAATCCTCACAGACTGCAATGTGGACCTCTTAAAAGTGTCATTTGCCATTGCACATTTAATCTGGCAGGACTTTCACTACCTAAAAACAAAGGAAGGAAATTTTGGTCTACATGTATAAGGGGAACTTGACTTCCCTGGGAGAATTGTACTTGCAAAGCAGGGAGCAAAGTGTGGCCAGAGAGAAGCTCCTTCGCAAAGCCTCGGTGTTGAACCATTCACAGCTCTGCAGCCCCAGCTTGAAATACCTGCTGCAGTGAAAGGCTTTCTGCAAGAAGGGAGATGGCTGCATCTACCTGCTCAGGAAGGAGAAGGTGCAGATACGGAGAAGGCGCGACTGTGCAACTTGGGGACTGTGCTTGGCTCTTGGCTCTGCCATAAACATGCCGGGTGAGGAGGGGAAAATCAGTGGATTTCTTTATGCCTCGGTTTCCCTTCTGGACACTGGAGTGATGATACAGCCAATTAGGCTGTAATGTGATGAGTCATATCTGTATCCTGCACAGCACTCAGGTTTCTCAGGTTTATTGTCGCTCTTTTAACCTGAACAGCAATAGTCACAGTCACACGGTGCTTTGATTTTTGACAATACTTTCCTGTTATATGATGGTTCCAAAAGTCCACTGGGTCCTGAAGTTCAGCTCCCTTCATTCCCATGCTGTAGTTAGTGTGCCCAGCCAGACTGACCATGTCAGAAATCAGGATATTTTACCCCATCTTCAAACCTGAGTTACACTGAGAGGGAGGGCAGGATGCTTCCCCGGACACGTGTTTCCTGCATTGACTGGCTTTCTCTTTGGGGGACGGGCCAGGCAGCTCCCTCCTGCTCTCATTGTACTCACATGAAAACACGGGAACCGCTGCCCTGGGTCGGAGCAAAGGGCTGTCTCGCCCAATATCCTGCCTCTGACAGTGGCCAGCAGCGGATGCTCAGGGAAATGTAAAAGCACCAGGGCTGTATGGAGGTATCCTTCCCTGGCTATATCCACCCAGCTTTAGCAGCAGGCAGCAGTTTAGGAAGTTTCTGCTCTGGAGGATGCATTCGGTACCTTCTTGTTAACCCCAGATGCGCAAGTCCTCCACGCTGCTTCTTCCCGGACAAAGTCTGGCCATGGAAAGTCTGGTGACTAATACCAGCTTCCTCCAGGGGCAGGTAAAACAAATATATTCCAGGCCACACGCTGCGCCCTCTTGAATTGTCCTGGCTCCTCTGGGGACGTATCCATTTATAGCAGCCAGGGATTTGGGCTGCAGTGCCTTTTTATTAGGAATAGACCTTGCCGCCCTTTGTCTTTGCTCTGCCAGCAAGTGCCCCAGGCAGGGGCTGGTTAAGCCTGCTGAGGTTCACAAGCTGCAGGAAGATGACAAGAGCCTTTCTCTGGTGAAATGTGCTTTAGCCCAATCAGTATTAGGGTCGTGGGAATGGTGGGATTTATAGTCTTAATTTGAAGACCAGACTAGCTGGTCAATGGGATTGCTTCTGGTCTTGAAACCAGTGGTAATAAAAAGCTGGGTAACAAAGGCACTATCTTTTTTTTAATTTAATTTTTTTTTTTTTTTAAAAAGATCTGCGTTTCCAGACTGAATCCCTAGAATACTGGAGCCACTCATATTCTTGATTCCAGTCCAGCATTTAAGGGCTGTCTTTCCTCATGTAACTTCTTTAGGCCTTTAAGCATTTCACTCTCTCTCCTGACTCTTCCTGCCCTGTCTGCTGGGCCGAAGGTTACACACCTCATCATCTTCCTTGCCATCAGCACAGGTTTGTTGGAGGGTTTTGTTACCCGTGTGTTAGGTTTGTCAGGGAGTAACAAATTCCTCTCAAAACTCCTGGCGCTCGGGCTAACGTTTTTCCTAGCTGCTTTACCAAGAGAGCTCCAGTGCCTGCTAGGCTGCTGCGCGCTCTCCAAAACACTTTAAATATTGACTCAAGGGAGGAAAAAATCCTCTTATGTGATATCGCAGTGGAGACCGCAGACAGTAATGCCAAGAACCCCTTATTAAAATAAAAAAAGAAGTTCTATCTGAAAGAGCAACCAACCAACCACCTTAGTATTGGTAGAAGATGGGAGACTAAATATATCCAGGCCAGTCACTGAGGGATAGATACCCCGGGACC